GCTTCAGTGCAAGGACGTGCAGTAAAGGACAATGATGCTGGGACCCGATAGCCTCTCTTAAACCAAGAACCGTCCTCCCCTACCTTGGACCGTTGCCAGTAACGCCCCCAGCTCAGTACGAACATAGGCGTTGGGATTGGCGGTTCGACGTTGCTTGGTCTTCTGGTTTGGGGTTGGTGGTGTAGCCTGCATACGCTGTGCGGTCGCTGTCCTTGACCTGAGGTTCCTTTAGTGTTGGGTAGGGGCTGCGCTGTGAGATGCTGACACCGGGTAGGCGACCCCAAAGCCCGAAAGCCGAAGCCCCCCCAAAGCCCAAAGCCCAAGCGCGACATGTAGGCCCTCGAATGCCCCTTCCTGCAGTTTTCTGGTTCTGGCTAGTCGAGGCCTGATAACCCGCTGACCTCCCTGTGATGTTGCAGATGCTAACAACTAAGGACTGAGGTCTGCTGCCCTGGTGAGAATCTGTGTTTTCGTCGTCGTGACAGTGATGCTGAAGATGTTGATGCGCATATGATGAGGCTCACCGACATCATCACTAGTACCTTGTAATCGTCAGGCGATTTTTGCACTCATCATCTTCAGTCACCACAGTCTCGTTGGTGTAGTGCTGTCGTCACTCTGCGTTTAAGCAAGACAACATATGAGCTCACTGCAGCACCTTTTGCTACAAGCCTTCGCTCGTGCAGATCGCAACCTAGTGGCTCCTTCGCAAACCATGGCTCTCTTGTGGGACGTCCTGGAAGTGTTCGCAGGGTTTGCTGCTGGCGCCATCGGCGCTGTCGGTCCCAGGGCGGTCGTCACGATCATAGCCATATCCGCCTCGATGTGGTTGTGGCGCTACAGCACCTCCAGGACCACGACAAGGACGGAGCGGGCGCACATGTCCATTCTGCAAGAGCTTTTGGGGCTCATGGTGGAGGTCCGTCTCCAGGTTGCATGCGAGCATGAAACCACGCGAGACTCGCTGCACTTCGAAGATATGCAAGCCAGAATTCAAGCCGTGATCAACAAAGTCATGGCAAACGGCTTGCTGACGGAGAAGATGGCGATCAGGCTGGAGGCGGTGCATGCGGGGTTGGCCAAGACCTCGGTGAACCTCCACAAGGAGATGGTGGAGGCTATTGACCTCTACTTGAAGGAGCTCAAGAAGGACGTGAACAACCAAACGGAGTCCACGGCCAAGACGCTCATGGGGGAGATCGCTAAAGGGGTGGGGAAAGGGCTGGAGAAGCTGGGAGACAAAGTTCGCGGCGACATACAGACATGTGTGTCTGAGGCCATCGCCAGGGTCGAAAAGGAGTCTGCCAAGCTGGGAAAGTCCGAAGGAGCACTAGGGACGGTCATGCAGGACAAGTTTAACGAGGTTCTGCGTGAGGTATGCAAGACCTACGACAAGAT